AGTCCAAGTATTGGTGTAATCAGCCCAAGCAGTCAACAGTCATAGTACAAGTGTAATCAGTCCAAGTATTGGTGTAATCAGTCCAAGTATTGGTGTCATCAGTCATAGTACAAGTGTAATCAGTCCTAGTGTTGGTGTAATCAGTCCAAGTATTGGTGTAATCAGTCATAGTACAAGTGTAATCAGTCATAGTACAAGTGTAATCAGTCCTAGAGTTGGAGCAAGCATCTCTAGGCCTTTTGTTACGTGCCGTTCAAAGTTGAACTAAGTTTACCAGGAGTCAGCCCATAAAAGTGGTCTGAAACAAACAAACAAACAAAGAATGTAACGTTTAACAATTGTATTCTAAAATCAATCCAGATCACCACAAAGGCAACACTCTACAAATTCAGAGGCAACATAATACAAGGGCAGTGATTATAGCAAATAAGTCAGTGATGGTTATATTAGACCAGGGATAATCTACAACTTCCCTTTACTCTTTAGTTGTTAAAATGTCTGCTCAACATTGAATCGCCGATTGTAAAATAAATATCCAACCTCTGAACACCATCCTGAATATATGGGGGAATTGAATTTGCAACTATAATGCATTGCGATTCTGCTGCATTCTGTTCAATCTACAGAACTTGCGTTCAAGAGATGAAAACCGCAGACTTGATAACGGGGGATACATTTGAGCCAAGCATATAAAGATATCAGAGATGTAGCATGCATTTATTTGCAGAATAATCATTGCATTTTCGCAATCTTAGCTTTTTACTACGATTTGAAACCTCTCCAAGTCAGAATCTGAAAAACCGTTCATCGAGGGTCGCATCAGGTCAACTTTCTAATCACTCAATCAGTGTGGAGGCTTATGGGTTAAAGAAAGAGCGAGCGAATCATAAAGAAGAGTGTCTGGTTTCAGTATTTAAAAAATAAGGACATGAGGAGTTCCACATGAAACAAATAATAACAACGCCATTGTGGATATTTGAACCATGCTCCCGACGCCATTGCATCTTGCAAGTAGGGTCCATAATAGGGGTAGATTCATCTTGTTCTCGGTCGCCCTTTGGTCAGCGATAAATGTTCGAATCAGACGGTTGCGCACATGAACGATACTTCTAAAAGAAACATACATACTGGTACTTCATCTTGACTGGTCGGTAAAAGTTCGTTCTGGGATAACTTATATTAACGAGGCCTCCAGTGAAGCGTTTGACAGATTGTCGCCATAAGAGTGGTATCAGAAAAAAGAAAATTTCTACCTTTGCATTAAATCCCAAATAAAAGAGCCCCTGGGCTTAAGAAGTACACCAACGTTTGTTGTGGCTAAAATGAAAGGCAAACCGATATTCGATGGCGATATGATTTTTTCGGACATACACTACACGCCAAAAGAAACGTCACCTTCCTACATTTATGAATTATTGAAAAACTATCAAAGATATGTTATTAGGTATTAGTTGGATGGGGCAGATTGGGTCGACGTACAGTGCTGTTGCCAACGCCCTCGGATGCCACCGTATCACGGTTATAAGATTTATTCAGGGCTTCAGACAGACTGGGGTCACCGTAGACAGACCGAGAAGAGGACGTCCACGCATCACAACGCCAGCTGAAGATAGGTACCTCCGTCATTAAGGCTGGAGGGTAACGTTTCTTTTTGGCGTTTAGTGTATATAGTTGTGTATAGACCTGTGGGTCGAGGAAGATAGACCTAAACTTTGCAGATTTTCGGCGAAATGTCTCCAGCTATGTAACGTTCTGATACGTTTGTAAAGTTTATGTCCATCCAATTATGATATTTCAACAGCTTGCTGTTTATACCAAAGCAGTTTAAAGTCTTGCCAAAATATACGCAAAGCATTAAATTCAAATATCAATTATACGACTGTTGCAAGGCCATTTTCAAGAGCGTGATGTATTTCTTGGAATACGCCAGATGCATATAACACTCTTTTATCAGTATTCCAGCTCTAACACCACGGGGAACGTCAGAAAGGGCCTCTATGTATGATGCCTGAGAAGCTCCATACCTTTGTGGAGACATGTGCATTTAGATGGTTTTGACTCGTCTTTCTAACCGTTTCTGACTCAGGAACCACAGTTCGTCTGTGTGTGATTGGAGTACTATTGCCTTCTTACCGCTATACATTCATAACGGTACTTCTGTTGGGACAGGTGAAGTGGCCGGTGCTGTTGGGTGAGGGTGGATATGCCCCGTAGATTGTCTCCTACAGACAGTAACAGCACCGTGGGCTGCGAGGGAGGCAGGGGTGAGGGATAGGGGATCCAGTGTGTAACTAATGAGGTGTTAGGCGTAGGAGGAGGGGAGGGGCTGGAGTTGGGCAGGCTGTTCTTCATACGTGAAGTGTCCGGAATTTACCTGGAGGTACAGCACATGTGTAATGAGCTGTATGCCTTTCAACACTGTTTCAGAATAAAGAACTTGTTAAAGTTTGTAAACGGAACCTGTTCGTTTGAGAGGATTTGGAGTGTTTAGCTCACAGAAGTGTTTGAAATACTTGCATTCATTTTCCTTTCATCTAAGGCATTTTAAGTGAGTGAGTGAGTAAGGTTTTACACCACTTACCCACTGTTACCCTCCAGCCCGGTTGCGCAATATTCAAGGTAAATTTATGATAAATTTTTCGTATGTTTAATGATAAAAGTGAGTTTGCGGCAGTCTTATTGAACACTCACTCACTCACTCACTCACTCACTCACTCACTCACTCACTCACTCACTCACTCACTCACTCACTCACTCACTCACTCACTCACTCACTCACTCACTCACTCACTCACTCACTCACTCACTCACTCACTCACTCACTCACTCACTCACTCACTCACTCACTCACTCACTCACTCACTCACTCACTCACTCACTCACTGGGTGTGCCACATTTCTTAATATCAAGCACATGTTCGTTTGAGAACCTAACCTATCTTTTTACTATACATGTATTGGGTTCCTAATGCAAGAATAGGGATTTTCTACACATCATGTGTAGCCTTTTATAGAATAGGGGTGTTTCAAGGAGGCTTCTTAAAAATAAAACACGAACATGCCAAGAACCATTAGGAATGTCATCTAAAAACAGCATGAACTTTATGATTACCGCGTCATAACCACGTGTTTATTCATTACCGTCAAATATTGTGTTCTGTGTCCTACCCAACTAGCGACACTCGTCACAAACACGTGCAAAAGCGAGTCAATTTTACTCCTAAAATCTCAGCACAGTTCATTTCGTCCGTTTGACCATTAAATAGCTTGGCCACATCTCCACTAACCACCTGTCAGTTTCCAGAATGTGAAACGAGCTCAGATTTCACAAACATATATCACCGTCAGATAAAAACAGTTCTGGCTTCAGTCATCCTGCCAGGCGGCCACCTCAGGTTTCTTTGAAAAGCTATTTGTTGTTGCTACGACTGAGGAAGGTTGAAATATGGATTAGTTTCAAGAGGGAGACGTAACATAAGAAACCTAATACAAAACCACAAGATGACTCTCTTTGAAAATTCGGGACGGTATTAATCAATCTCCCATCGTTGCATTTTATTATTATTATTATTATTATTATTATTATATTATTTATTATAGTATATTTATATAGCGCATATCCACGCAACTGGTGCAGTTAACTGCACGTTGCCGTATCCACAACTAGGTGTTTGCACGTATTCATGTGGCCACCATCTGGTCATATACCAACGGATTCGTGGGTTCTTTTAAGTGCACAGGGTTGTGTACTGTACACTAGGGGTTGTGACAACACTGAAAGAGTCTGCACAAAAAGTTGACTCCAAGGTTTTTACACCCGGTGACAGGTGGGCTCGATCACCGGCACCTCAACCTCGCTGGATCACTAGCCTGGCGCCTTAGCCAGCTCGCCCACCGTTTATCTGTAACATCTGCCCCGTGCATTTCCAAGGTTTCATAATTAGTTCGTATTCATAAATCCCTATTGAAAAACACATTTTCAGTAAGTTCAAACAATTTTGAAATAAGCATCCTTGTCGATGTTTCCCCACTCACGACGCCACATAACCAGTATGGCGCCCAAAGCAGCATTAACTCATCATTGGGATGCCATTAACGTTTAATTAATGTGCAAAGGGCAATAATGAATTATAACGTTATTATGATATTGTCTTTTCAATGTCCTAAAGTCAGTTCATTACGGTTATGGCCCGACGAGCTGCAAAAAAATGTTTTAATAATTTTCAAAAGAGAGGACATGGCATACCACACGCAAACAGCTGATCAGAAGAGACGATAATTGATGAAAACGTATGGAGTCTTTTGAGTGAATACGAGGGAGTAAGCACGTAATATTTTTAGTAAATACGACGGCAATGTACGTCAAAGAGACATTACCATCGAGCACAGGCATATTCACAAGTATCCTAAGTACCATCCCTTCAACCCAGTGAACACACAACCACTGTGAGAGCGCGCTTCAGGTACACGAAGGATGAGAATAACAGTGTTCATGTGAATAGAAAATGAAACACGTGACAGTTTAATGAAGGCAGGCTGCCTAAAAAGACGTTATAAGTAGGTTTGAACATATTTTAGATGGTTAATGTGATTGACAATGTACAAACAGGATGTGGTTTGAAGATCATGATTTGTCTGAGGGCGGATTGACGTTTTAAGATGTTAAAAAAATCATGTATATTATATTAACCGCACCTTGAGGATAAACAGAACAGGTGTTGAAAGCCAAGGACATATCCCCGTGATTTGACAGTAGGGTATTTGACATTAATTTTACATATAGCATGTTTCGTGCGGTTATCTAATGAATGTCACCGTATGATGAAGACAGACATTCTTCATTTGTATTTGAAGGAATGCATTAAGAATGTGGGCAGAATCCGTCTGTAATTTTTAGAAACGTTTACCTCATTTCAATTTGTCATATATTTCTGAATTCAATTTCAGCAATTTACCCACGGGATGTGGAGAAGGGGAGATAACCGATGATCTAATAGCCAGCAAGCCGTGTTCACCGATCCAATATCCTACCGTCCAATATCTACGACCAGTTCCAAAAATGTTAGTAGAAGCTTTCAATGCGACTGACAGCAAGAATGTAACCTTGAGCTCATCAGAGTTCAAGAACATAACCATGGCGTCGGTTGACCTTGACCTTTTGATCGGCCCCAAGCGGCGCGCTCTGAGCACTGTAATCCCTATGACTGTGGTATATTCCCTCATCTTTGTGACGGGTATTGGGGGTAACGTGTGCACGTGCATTGTCATCGCACGCAACAAATACATGCACACTGCCACGAACTATTACCTGTTCAACCTCGCTGTATCAGACCTCTTGTTGTTAGTCCTTGGGCTTCCCCAAGAAACATACTCCTTCTGGTCGGAATACCCATACATCTTCGGTGAGACTTTCTGCAGGTTCCGATTCTTTGCCGCGGAGGCGTCAACATACGCGTCCATCCTTACCATCACGGCCTTCACCGTTGAGAGGTACGTGGCAATATGTCATCCGATGTGGATGCCCAGCAACTCCAACCTGCCACGAGCTGTACGAGTGATATCTGCCATATGGGTAATATCGGCTGTATGTTCTATACCAATATCATTACAGTTTGGGATTGTGTACAGATACCAGAAGGGTTCCGCGCTGAGGATAGAGGAGTCTGCCCAGTGTAACACGATGGATGAAGAAGAGGCCAGAATCTACTTCCAGTTGTCCACCTTCCTGTTCTTTGTGTTCCCCATGACAGTGTTGTCCATCTTGTACTTCCTGATCGCTATTGCTATCCGGAAGTCCGGACTTAACCGGACTGGGTCGGATTCCTCGACGGAAAGTCAGCCTTCTGGGGCAGAGATTCGGATACAGCAGCAGAGCAGGGCCAGACAGTCGGTCCTCAAGATGCTCGGTAAGACACATCAGCTCTACAAAGCCTTTGCTTTTATTACAATCCGTAGGACCAAGGTTTATTCACATTCTGTTAGACCAAGCTTTTATCCATATTATGTAAATTCACGCTTTTATTCACATACTCTATGCTAAAGCTTTTGTTCACATATGCATTCAGAAAGAACAAGGCCTAGCTTTTACAACAATGCCTTTTCTTATATTACAATCTGTAAGACCAAGCTTTATATTCACATTCTGTAAGACCAAGCTTTTATTCACATCCTGCAAGACCAAGCTTTTTCTTCACATTCTGTAAGACCAAGCTTGTGTTCACATTCTGTAAGAGCAAGCTTGTGTTCACATTCTGTAAGACCAAGCTTATACTCACATTATGTAAGACCAAGCTTGTGTTCACATTCTGTAAGAGCAAGCTTGTGTTCACATTCTGTAAGAGCAAGCTTGTGTTCACATTCTGTAAGACCAAGCTTATACTCACATTATGTAAGACCAAGCTTGTGTTCACATTCTGTAAGACCAAGCTTGTATTCGCATCCTGTAAGAGCAAGCATTTATTCACTTCTGTGAGACCAAGCTTATACTCACATTCTGTGAGACGAAGCTTTTTATTCACATTCTGTGACACAGACATGCCAACAAGCGTCAATAAGTCTGAGTATGTTCGAAAACCAGTTGAATAATATGTTGTTAATGCATATTTCACATCGTTTGGTGCTATCCTACTTCCAGCCTCATACTGCTGGGATATTGTAAAAGTGGGGTAAGACCTCACTTACTGCGTTGTGGCTGCTTATAAACATCCATATGACATATAAAAAATATATAAACAGATGTTAAATTTCCACTGCTTTGAAAGTTTATTCTTTGTATATGCGAAAGCGGAAGGTCTGTTCAGTTCCCAGTCGCTCCATGCCAAAAGATGGTAAAAGATTATACTTGTTCTTACCTTACCGTTTGGCATAACTAAGATAAGACAACACACACACGCATGCACGCACACACACACGCGCGCTCACAGGTGCAAGTGAGTGAGTATGGTTTTACGCCGCTTTAGCAATATCACGGCGGGGAACACCTTAAATGGGCTTCACACATTGTACCTATGTGGGGAATCGAACCCGAGTCTTCAGTGTGACGAGTGGACGCTTTAACCATTAGGCTACCCCACCGCCCCACTACATAAGTGAATGTTCTTCCCCTCACCAGCAATGTTCTTGTTCTTGTTCCAGTGACAGTAGTCGTGGCTTTCTTCGTCTGCTGGGCCCCCTTCCACTCCCAACGCCTCCTCGTCATGTATGTGGAACGCTGGACACACCAACTCCTGCTCGTACACGAACGTCTGTACCACGTCTCCGGCGTCTTCTACTACATCAGCTCCACCATCAACCCCATCCTGTACAGCATCATGTCCCTCAAGTTCAGACAGGCGTTCAGATCAACGCTACTTTGCCCATGTTGTCGGAGTCCACGAAGCAGGAACCGGAATAGCTATACCTACAAATTTGTTCATAAAAACAGCGGCTCGGATACCATATGCACAGCGGTCGACAGTGGGTCGGCAACACGCTGCTGTGGGTCTAGTGGTTCGTCACAGAATGTACCATGTCCTATGGCAATGTGGACCAAACCAGATATCTAATCGAAAATGTACCTAAAGTGCCTCTACCTAATTTATCAACGTGGGCATCAGAAAAGGTCACAGCATATCACAGAATGAATGTACCATGTTGCAATGTGGACTACATTGCTGATAGGTGAAGAAGGTCTCCAGCTACTGATTAAGTGGTAACGTCAAAACACGTCGTGAGCGACACAACACGTCACAAAATGTCACATTGCAATATGGCTAATTGTACTGGTGGGTTCAGAGTGCCACTAACTAATAGTCTACAATAGTTAACAACACACTGAATGTCACCGAATGATCAATGTGCAATTGCAATATGAACCGAATTCCTAATGAGTTGAACATGCCTCTACCAAAATTATGCACGGAAAAAGCCTCAGAAGGTGCAAGAAAGTTCCAGAATATCACTGAATGCAGTCTGTCCTGTTGTAAAGTGGGCCAAACTGGTGGTCCAATATGACCTTAACTAAATGACGGTGACGTCAAAAACGTCTCACTACATCACAGAATGTCACAGAATGAACAATGCCCCGTTGCATTGTGGAATATATTCATGGTGCTTCCAGCATGTGCCTTCCAATATTATCAACGTGTGACCAAGGGCCTAGAGCGTCACACCTCAGAGTTGTCCTTAGTTCGAACTTGATTCGATTATGATCCTTGCTTTGTCAACGTGGGTTTTCATGGGTAAATATTCACTAGCTGTGCCTTTGTGTACATCCAACCTACATTACGGGATGACGGGAAAACACCTCAGAGTTGTCCTTAGTTCGAACTTGATTCGATTATGATCCTTGCTTTGTCAACGTGGGTTTTCATGGGTAAATATTCACTAGCTGTGCCTTTGTGTACATCCAACCTACATTACGGGATGACGGGAAAACACCTCAGAGTTGTCCTTAGTTCGAACTTGATTCGATTATGATCCTTGCTTTGTCAACGTGGGTTTTCATGGGTAAATATTCACTAGCTGTGCCTTTGTGTACTTCAAACCTACATTAAAGATGACGGGAAAACGTTTCAAAAGCGTCAGTAAACACAACCTGCTCTTTCATTCACCGGTGTCTTCAACGAATTGCAGCGCCTCATTGCCAACCATTCTTACCAAACAATCAAACTGGCTCATCGTCTTCACGAATCACAACGGTTAGTTTGGTATTTAGTATCTGTCTGAGGATTTTAATGGCTGGTCAGTGGACGAGTATTCTATACTCTCAACAGTCGAGTGCAATGCAAAGAATTGGTCTTCAGCATCCCATGCCTATTGTTAGAGGTAACCGGCGGGGTTGGATGGTCAAACTCAAAGACTTGGTTGATGTATGTTGATGTATCCCATAGACTTATATCGATGCTAATGATGTCCGTCACTGGATTGTCTGGTCCAGACTCGATTACTTAATGGCCGACGTGATATGCAGGAAGAGTGTTGCAGGGTGCACGTTAAACAACAAACAAACAGTTGAACGGACAAGAGGAGATAAGTGAAGGTCGCGCATATAAATGTACGAAATCCATTTTTTTAACGGTGTGCTTATGTAATTTTGCGGTGTGAGTGTCTGTGCCAAGTTGCCGGGTGTTCGCGGGACAAACACCATGGTTGTGGTTTCGAATCCCGGTTCGTCATGATTATGTTTAAGCGACAATCATCACGACTTAACACGAGCAGTCAGTTGTGTACGCGGTCAGTGATAAAACGAACATTGATTTTTCAGAAATACATAATAAAAGTTGTTGAAAAAGCAAGTGAGTATATGATTCTGTCGTTAATCATCATCATCACCATCATCATCATCAGTGGGCGGTGGGGTAGCCTAGTGGTTAAAGCGTTGGCTCGTCACGCCGAAGACCCGGGTTCGAAATCCCACATGGGTACAATGTGTGAAGCCCATTTCTGGTGTCCCCCGCCGTGATGTTGCTGGAATATTGCTCAAAGCGGCGTAAAACCAAACTCAGTCAGTCAGTCATCATCATCATCATCATTTTGGAAGTTTCAAAGGTCGGTGCTGGTAATTGGATGTGTGGAGCTGCCAGAATGCCAGCTAACGAAATCTGATTATGCGGTCACTACTGTTAACAGCGTTATAACGGTGAAAATCACTGAAAATACGTGATGACACTGGTGTCCGCCAAACAAATAAGCATGTCCAGCCCACCTGTAGCACCTAAAACTGACACAATTTGCTTAAAAAAGTAAGCGTTTATTTATGGCTGACGCTGCACAGCAGCCCTCCTTCAGATGTGATCGTAAAAGAAGCAGTTATGAGTGAAAGATATTGATAAGCCTTCAATTTTGTTTCATTTGCACTTAACGCAACCCTACGTTCGCGGTTTGGACTGTCATTTTGTCCATCCCAGACAAGAAAATATTTATACCACATAAATATCATCGACGGCATTCAATTTTTAAACATGTTGGAGTGGAAACAAGCTAAGAAATCTGCTTTGATCAGTTCCAATTACAAACACAAGATGATGCTATTACTGTTACAACCATGGTAACAATAAAAATTGCGATGCTTTGAAATACACAGACTGTCTGTCCTTCCCAGCAGGACGACCAAATTACATCAGTCTTTATTAGCCTTAAACCTGAACATATAACCATGTTTTATTTCCAATAATATGACTCAGTAGAACCTAATTACAAGACCTGATTATTCGTCTATATTTAAAGATCGGTTTACAGTGATAAGCAATTATTTACATGTGGATAGGGGTTCCACAAAATACACTATCGTTCTTTGTAACAGCACCACTAATCTTTATGCTCTGCGTGAGTTCAAAGGCTGCTAATGTCGTGTTCACAACAAACAATACTGCACAGGATGGGGGGGGGGGTTAACGAAAAATAAAATTAAGGTAATTGTTCTGAAACAAAGGAAAATCCTTGGGCTGATGTGCCCAACGTTTGCAATATTTGAAATAACACAACAGATGAAAATAAGTCCTTAGGAAGATACAATTTAGTACATATACAAAAGAAAGAAGACTTACTTAACTGTCGGATTTTCGTTTATTAAGAACACATGAAAATAAAGAGTAATTGTAAACAGATTGTGTTGTGGGAACGTATGGTTAAACGTCTTGCTGCACAAGCCAAGCACACATTGACAAAACACAATATCTTTCTTGATATCTCGTCATAACACTAATATGAGACTGATGTAGGACTTTACGAATATGTTAATGATTACATTTAGCCTGAAACAGATGTCGGTAAGATGCTTGTAATTATGGATCTATTTTGTATGTTATGACTGCGCGTGAAAAACGTTTTTAATCAGTGCAAGCTAAAGTGAGTGACACCCGAGATTACTTAATGGGGAAATTTACCCGTAATTTTCAGCCTGTGAGGACAACGTGCAGAATTAGTTGATGGAACCAATACCTGCCATACAAATTGACTGAAATGAGGTTCAACCATTAAATATTCAGTTCAACCCTTTCGGCAAGTCGAATTCAGGATATTCATTGAACAAATAGTTAGATGTTTAAATATAAATACTACTTCGTTTCAGTGAATAACGATTTTCTCAAAGACTCGGTCATCTTAAAGACGGACTTGCTTCCGTCTATCAGACAGGGACTGCCTGAAGAACTGACCAATTGATATTCTGTGTATTGGAGATGGGATCTCAAACATAATTATTGAAAGTATACGAGGATAACAGAAACATCATAGTTACAATGATGATCGTACACAGCAAACAACATTAAGAGTTACCGGAAACAAACACCTGATTACAACCATGGGTTTACACAGTGTTATGAGGTAAGTGTTTCAACGTCCATACAGTGTACCTGTAGATGCAGTTAGGAGCAGTGGTGTGCTATATTTAGACTTGCTCTATATTTAGACACCTCTAGAAACCTCAACTGTGTTCTGACCATCATAATATTACAGAATGAGGTGAGGTGAGGTGAGGTGAGGTGAGGGGAAATTGGGTTTAACGTCGTCCTTGAGAATATTTCGCTCATATGACGACGTGCATGCGTGTGTATGTGTATGTGCGGCTGCTTGTACTAGCCCAGACTGAAGCTGGTTTTAGAGTGCTAGCCCACTGAGATACCATGCCGCAGTGAAGCATGAATACCCCACTCAGACACATTATACTGACTCCGAGCCGACCAGTTCTTGTTGTACCCATTAATGCTGAGCGGCAGGCAGGGACCGACAAGTACCATATTTTAACGTCTTTTGGTATGACGCGGTCGGGGATCGAACCTGCGACCTTCCGCTCTCCGGGCGTACGCTCTAACCTCTACACCACGGAGGCGGTCTATTACAGAATGACCTGGAAAGGAATATAAGGACCTTATTCCAGAGGTGTAGGGGCATGTCGTTCCCATCAATGTCTTTCCATTCCAGGGCTCCTCTGTTGCCCCTAAAAGTCGAACACTAACGTTCCAACTGTTGTTAGCCCGGGTTTAGATGTTGTTAGCCTGGGTTTAGATGTTAGCCTGGGTTTAGATGTTGTTAGCCTGGGTTTAGATGTTGTTAGCCCGGGTTTAGATGTTGTTAGCCCGGGTTTAGATGTTGTTAGCCTGGGTTTAGATGTTGTTAGCCTGGGTTTAGATGTTGTTAGCCTGGGTTTAGATGTTGTTAGCCTGGGTTTAGATGTTGTTTGGGTTTAGATGTTGTTAGCCCGGGTTTAGATGTTGTTAGCCTGGGTTTTATATGTTAGCCTGGGTTTAGATGTTGTTAGCCGGGTTTAGATGTTGTTAGCCTGGGTTTAGATGTTGTTAGCCTGGGTTTAGATGTTGTTAGCCTGGGTTTAGATGTTGTTAGCCTGGGTTTAGATGTTGTTAGCCTGGGTTTAGATGTTGTTAGCCTGGGTTTAGATGTTGTTAGCCTGGGTTTAGATGTTGTTAGCCTGGGTTTAGATGTTGTTAGCCCGGGTTTAGATGTTGTTAGCCTGGGTTTAGATGTTGTTAGCCTGGGTTTAGATATGGGAG